CCTTGAAATAAGGAGCCTTACCTGTTGTGTCTGGCTGAGGAACTGGGCAGAGGTCATGAGGTATTTTCTCAACAGGCACTGTGGATGGCAACCTGTTAAAGAGCAATTCGGTGTCTTTATTGGTGTCAGACAGGACAAAGGGCCAGAATCAGCCTTCAGGCTGGACTGAAAGATACACCAGCACCTGCCTGGGCTGAGGAATGGAGATACTTCAAACACAACCCAATTTCCACATAGTTTATCATAGACCAGGGCCAGAGAATTGCAGAAGAAGGAGCTAGATCTGCCCCTCCTCCAAAATTATACTCCGATCTGTGAGCTTTAGCCCTTCAGGCTGAAAATCTTCTCACTTAAATCCTTTAACTTCTAGTTTCTAGAAACTGCAAGGGCTAGATATAGAAATGCCCTCCTGGTACATATCCATCTCCTCTAAGCATCCCTCACTGGCCATCAGACACTGCCTGTGCAGCCCCAACTAGCAAAGAATTTCTATTATAAAGACTTTCTAATATGCTCACAAATATTTCAGATTTAAAAGAATCCCCCTGTTGATGCTGCTGCAATATCTGGGCAGTAGGTAGCAAAGCCACACAGCTGCTGTGTATTATCCCCCCTGCAAGACCTGATGCATCCCTGTAAAAATCCCATCTTAAATAAAAAAAACTTACTGCTTTTCTGGCTGCACAACTGCAATTCTTCTCTTCCTTCGCACTGCAAAAATGAAGCAAGGTTAAAAAAAATAGTTTTTTACCCTTCTGTCCCATAAAGTACACCCAGAATGCATAAAAAGCTGTGTAAATGCACTGACTATAAAATGACTTTGAACACAATGAAATGGTACTTAATTACTATCACCATCTTCTCTTGGTATTTTTTAAGTAAGTCACTACATCATTAAAACCTACTTTAAAGATGTAATAATACATTTAATCTTTCCTCTGGAATGCTAATATTGTGTTTTATGGGGATCAGTATAAAAAAAAAAAGAAAGTAAAAACACAAATATTTTTCCATACAGAAACACATATGGATAAGATTACATTTTACAAGCATGATTACCTCCAGCATAATTTATCCCCAGCTATAAATTGTGATAAGGCTGCATAATGTTGCCATAGCAGTATTCTCCCAAATTAGGCCCTGGCTGCCTGATTTTTAACTTAAGCATATTTAACTCTTTGAAAGGGTTGACACGTTTTAAGATTTGCCTTTCAGATGTTAATTAATACAAAGAGTGAGGCTAATTTTTCACCCTGGGGGCTTGAGATTGGGGTTGGATAGTTTGGAACAGGATAACCAACACCAAGTCACTGAGCACCCAACTGCCTTCAGATGGACAGTAAAGAAATATGTCTTAACATGCACTGGAGGAAGGACAAAACACTCTGGGCTTAACTGTTCTGGGAGAGATTTAAATTAAACCCCAGGTAAATCGCTGAGCTGGTAAAGATGGTGAAATAAGGGGACACATACCCTGGGAAGGGGCAGAAACCATCACAGGAAGGCAGCAAACATTTCTGAATTTAGATGGAGCAGATCCAGCTTTGGAGATGGAGTATTTAGAAGATCTCTTTAAAGTCCATTCCACCCTTTATTTTATGTTTTTTTTTTTTTAAAACTGAGGTCTTTGTCCCTAATTCACGGGTTTTTTTTTTTCAAAACTGAGGTCTTTGTCCCTAATTCACTCAGCTACTGAGGTGAACTTAGCACAGTAAAACCTGGTTTCTCTTTGAAAAATGACAACCCCACTGCAAACTCACAAGCCACTGCAATCCCAAGCCATGTAACAGCCTTCCCCAGCACAAACAATCCCAGTTTTTGAGGGACTGACCACAGAGACAAGTACAAATTTTATAATCCCAGTCTGGTCACTAATTAGATTTACTACTATTTATTTCAGTAGACTTATAGACTGGTTATGCATCTGCTGGTTAGGTTGATAGGTTCAAAAATGGGATTATAGACTTAAGACAAACTCCCTGATACATCCAGTGCAGTGCTTGAGGTTTCCATGTACTTACAAACAGCTTTGTGTGGTGGAGTTAGGTTATAAGCATTTGCCTCACACCAGCCCACGGGGAAAATGTCCATAGACTCCACATCAACTATGTACTCTGGAGATGGCACCTGTAAACCTGCAAACACAAAAGTAGAATGTGATTTAGACATGAGAATACCCAGCTCAAAGCCATTCCAGCATTCATCATGAACCAAAGGAAGCAAATGATGGAGCATGTAAAAATAAATCTGCTTCCCTGCAACGAAATCAGGCACCGTTTCATCTTCGGTTTGGCACAGGCAGCAATGGTAGAGCTGTTGCATTTACAGTGCAATGAGATTCAGAGAAAAAACCCATTAAGAGCACTCTGAGGGTGTGCAATGAAGCAGACAAAAGGCAGTAAGGTTAAACATGCACAACTTTGCCCAACAAAACAGCCTGACTGACCTTTGGGTTTTTGTAGAGTTGCACAAGTGAGTTAGAAGGACTTGTTGGGTGCTTGTTCTTAATGCTAAGAGAGTGTATATAGGCTGGTAGCTAACATGATAGATACGTTTTTAGGCCTCAATGCCTCCCCGAGGGTTTTTTGTGTAGTTCTGCCCTTGAGTCACATTTTTAAAGGGTGAGAGTTGGCCATTCCTCTGTCTAGAAGTGCCATGAATTCTGCTAGGGGTCCTCACTGCACATGAAACAAGAGGTGATCACCCAACAAGACAGAGGCAGTAAAAAAGCCCCAGGTGGGACACATGCATAATACTGGCTCCAAAACTTCACTCAAAGACTCTATTTAAATCAAATATCTTCCAGTTTGGTTATTATGTCTTCCTTAGAAGACAATCTCCTGTCTTGCTTCATGGAGGTCACACTCACAGCATCATAGAATCATTAAGGTTGGAAAATCTTTAAGTCCAACCCTTATCCAGCACTGCCAAGGCCATCACTAAACCATCTCTAAGTACCACATCCACCTGCTTTTTGAACACTTCCAGGGATGCTGATTCCACCACTTTCCTAAGCAGTCTGTTCTAATGCTTGACTACCCTTTCAGTGAAGAAATTTTTCCCATTTTTTTCCTCATTTTCCTATTTTCCACTCAAATCCCACTGCAGCAAATGACAATATTCCCACTGGCATTGAGTTCTTTTAAAAACAACTCTGGGTTCTGAGTCAAGACACCATTTAATTACTCCAATTCAATTTCATCTGCACTGGCACAGCCAGGCCAGCAACCTCACCCCCCTCCGCCAATTCCACACTAAGACCTGCAGCTCCAGCACCAGCATGAGGTGATCTCCTAATAAAAGAGACCAAAGGCTCAGCAGCTTCCCCTGCATTACCCTCGTCTTGGCATCTGTTACAACATCTTTGCCTCCTGCTTAAGGCAGCAATGTTTGACTGTGCACAGCCAGATGACTATGGGGAACTTTCCACTAATGAATGTTCATCAAGGGCTTGTGGTGTAATTGAAACAGTAATTGAACTTTGTGATGGGAACTGAGATGCTGCATTTGGATCAATCTTGTCTCTAGTAATGAACTTGATGTGCTCTGAGCCTCTGTGGCTGTATGAAAACTCAAAGGAAGCAGGAGAATAGGTGCTGGTGCCCACATTGCTGGAGGAAATAATTTAAACATGAAATCACTGATTCATGGATGCCTTCATGGTGTTTCTCTGAGCCACTGAAGATATAGTCTCTGTTTCACTGGGATGTGGGGAAGGGAAGAGGATGGGATGAAGGCACCTAATTCAGGATATAACTCGTTCATATGACCTCAAGACAAGTTCTCAGCAACTGACATTCCCTGCAAAAGCATTTCCCTCCATGAGAAAGTATCACGAGGTCACTGCTCAGTTTGAACCTGATGAAAGCTGCACCCTCCAGGAGGGAAAACATTTTCACCTAACACCACAAATCCAGCCAAAAAACAACGTGAGAACCATAGATCAAACCCTAAACAGAGCAAGAAATCAACACAGACCCCACTGAAATGTCACCAGGCCTGAGAAAAATCCACTGTTTTCATTATTGTAATGGTGTTATTCTGACTTGATGTTCTTACAAGTTTTCTCCAACCTTAATGATTCTATGATTCTAATTTATTCTAAAAATAAACAGATCAAATGTACTTTCCTGCTAGCAAGCAACACATGTGCCATGAAGGGTTTTTCCAACCAAAATGGGTTCTGGTTTGGAAGGTTACAGCTGCAGCCACCCTGATGAACAAAAAATGGGTCTATGAACGTTCTGGTTTGGAAGTTTACAGCTGCAGCCACCCTGATGAACAAGGAAGCACCACAATGTCTGTTCTCCTGCAACACCTCTATTCTTCTTGCAAGACATATTCATAGCTACTCTGTCCTCCCTGGCACTGCTTCTGCCATCTGGCAATTGATAATCCTGCTCTCAACTTCCAACATCTTATTGCTTCCTTTGCTATGAACGTTCTGGTTTGGAAGTTTACAGCTGCAGCCACCCTGATGAACAAGGAAGCACCACAATGTCTGTTCTCCTGCAACACCTCTATTCTTCTTGCAAGACATATTCATAGCTACTCTGTCCTCCCTGGCACTGCTTCTGCCATCTGGCAATTGATAATCCTGCTCTCAACTTCCAACATCTTATTGCTTCCTTTGGCCTCGCTCACAGAAGTGGAAAACAGCTTGTTTGAGACTCATTAGTTTCACTCTCTGCATTTTATGTTCCTTCTTCTCAGACTAAGAAATGTCCATGAGACCTGGGAGGTTAAATGGAAAAGAAGAGGGAGACTAGAAACAGAGTGAGGAAAACTATGTCCTGTTATGAATCCTATAGGATGGGGAGAATAGAGCAGCAACTCTAGATAACTCTCGAAGGGAAAATTACAGGAAAGTTCCCTGGAGAAGTGATTAACAGAAGGGTTTTCCTCAAATTCCTATGCTGTGCAGAGAGTGTACGTTATTACTTGTATAAATTCACACCAGAAAGCTTCAGCTTTAAAATCTAAAATGAACCAGTAAAAATTAACAATGCAGATGATGAGTAATAAAGTAGCAGAAAGCGTTGGGATGTGCATAGCATCACATCAGTCCTGGGCTTCTCCTCCACCACGGGGGAACTATACTGCTGCTCATTAAATGCTTGTCCTGAAGTTTACAGAGTTTTGCTACTGTACAAAGTGTGATTTATTACACACTGTTCCCTCATGTCTAACTCGACGCTGCTTAACTACTGCGTCCTGGTTTATGGCTGCAGTTTGGGCTATCAAACAGGGAGACTGGCAACAATCTCCCTGGGAGGGCAACAATGAAAGCTTCAGACGTGCCCGTGATAAATGGTGGGACCCAAGGCCTTCAGCAAGGGGCTCCCATGGTAGTTGAGGAGTCTTGCTGCTTGCAGAATATAAATAATCACTTAGAAACAACAGTGTATTAATGGAGTCAAAAAAACCCCATGCAACAGTTCAAGCCCCATGTATTTTACAGCTCTGCACGCAGGGTTTAGGGTGTTTTAAAGCCTGGTTTTAGCATAACTCTGTGCATACTGTAGTGCTGTATTTCTCCAGCAGCAAAGATTTCTTTTTATTTTTGCTGTCTTTTGCATCTTTTCCTTTTACTACATTCCTGGTATTGAGATATAACCCAAGCATAAAGCATCAATGGATCAGAACTCAAATGACAAGGAGATGCACAAAGGGGTTTTTTTATGGTAAGTTTTAAAAAACATCCCTTAAGAAATTCAAAGAGTAAAAGGAAGGGAGGATGACATGAGTGAGGGAAGCAAGGTGGGAGTGTGTGGCCCTATCCCTACATCAATCCATGTCTTGAAGAACTAGTTGATTTCAAGGCTCAAGAAACAGCACCTCCTGTTCACTCTAATGGGCAAAAGTTCAGTGAACACTGAGTCCCTTTGAAAGCATTACAGGTTAGAGGGGTGGAAAAAGAATGACTCCCAAACTCCATAAAATCTGCATGGAAAAGTGAAGACACCTGGCCATTTAAGAAGGGAAGCTGCCAAAATGGATGAGATTCCTTGACCAGATGGGTGTAAATTCAACAACAGCCTAACAATCACACAATCATTTAAAGGCCTCTGAGATGATGGTTCTCCAGAAGAAAGCAAAGAAACACATTACACTTGTAGTTCATGCTGACCCAATTACTACTATTGATTTCAGAGGAAAACTAAAGCTCTTACACCCCTTACAGATGAAGCCACTAGCTTGAAACACAAGTATAAATTATACTATGTTGTGACAATAACAGATGCTACAACAACTCTATGACTTATCACAGCGCCCATCAAAACACCTACATAAACACAGTTTTCTGCTCTCCAGGACTTCACAAATAACAGTTTTTAAAGCAATAGCAAGAATCCCTGTGTTGTTCTAAATTACACATACTTAAGAAGTTGTTGCCCAGATGAAATGAGAAAACACAGTCCTGAGAGCAAAAATAGAGAGGAAATGAGCTCATCTATACTTCAAGAAAGGTGGAGGGAGGAGGGATCGAGGCATAGGATGGTCACGGTGTGGAATTTTAATGCACCTAGGTGAAAAATGAGAGGAAGGAGGGAGGGGGGGGGAGGAATCAAAGGTGACCATGCTGATGGAGTCCACATGGATGTGAGGGTTGGAAGGGCTTGTGGCTCCCTCAGAGAAAGAGCAAGCAAAGACAATTCTTTAGAACATATTATTGGTCATCATGTATAAAATAGAAAAGCTTGAGAAAGTGATTTTGTCCAGAGGGTGAAGGACAAAATTAAGAGTGAGTGAACCACACAAACACAAGAAGCTGTTACAGCACATACCTTCCAGGTGAAGCCACATTAACCGTCCTTTCACTGAGGTGACAGAGGCAACACATATCTCTGCAGGGTTCCTGGGGTTCACTGCCTCCAGCTTCATGTTCTTAGTAAAGCCACGGCTGAAGGATGTCTGAAAGAGTCAAGAGCTAACGCTGAACTATGGCACTGCAGCACTGCATGGCTTCAGTGAGGCTGGGCACTGGGAAGTACTGCCACATCTGGACCTCTGTATACTTAAATACAACACCAAAGAAATAGATCTTTCACAGGTTACCTGAGGTCCCCACTGCCCTCCTGTTATTCTCCAGTGAAGGCAAAGCCAAGCCAGATGTTCCAGCAATGAACCCTGAATGAGTGATCATCACCCCAAATAACAAGCACAAGACCAAAATGTGGAGTCATGAGCTCGTGAGAATGTAGCATCCCCCACTGTACTAAGAGTGTGGGAGCTTGAGAGAAGCTGCAGCTCAAATCATTCAGGTACCACTGCTGAAGGCTAACGTGTGTCCTGCAAACTGCTTCAGCCCAAGGCTGGCCTGGCCCTGTGACAGCAAGAGGCCGCAGAACAGTCCCTCTTGCTCCTGTTTGTAGCCATTTGAGGTGATCCCAAGCATAGACAGATCCCAAGACCCCACTTTCATTCTTACCCTTTACCCTTTCCAGTGTGCCCTTCTTTTGTTTATACTCAATCCCTTCTCAGTATCTCCTCCTCCACTATCCCTGAAAATATACTAATGCAATACCTGTGACCATGCCATGGCTTCCCTTCCTTGCATTTTTGCTTCCCTCTGTCCCACCTGCTCTGCAACACATCAGCTCTGCTTGCCTCTCTCTGTTTGCACACAGTAGCATGAAAAGACATTTTTGCTAACAGTTGGGATGGGTAATAATTGTCACTGACTCAAAATGACACCAATCTCTCATCCAGCCACACCATGTGAGAAATTTGAAGCCAGGCTCAAATTCAGCCCTTCTGCTGCTTGTACAACCCCAAGGACCATGGGGGTTCATCTTGAAAAATCACTGGGAGCAATTCACAAGCCTAAAAACTTCTGAATTTGGTCTTATTTTTTTTTTTCCCCATGCAAGAACATGCTGCTACTCTCAAACATCGCTTCAACTGTCTCAAGCTTTGCTCAGCACACAGATCAAGATCACCCTGCAAAAGCTGCCCATGGCCAGGACTGCAGAAAAGCAGGAGGAGTTTGTTGAAATGCGTTTGATGTTGCCTAACAAGGAGAAGTCGTTTATCATTGCACCAGCTCCTTTCATTGCAATTTGGTGCTGGAGGCTAATTTATACTGAATCAATGGCAAAACAGTTAGCTGGGAGTTTATTTTACTAAGCATTTGGTCATGTCAATCCATTTCATAACTGCCTGTCCTTGTTAAAAATCCTCCCTGGGGAAGTAGTTACAGCATATCTACTGCCAGCACCACGTCTGGCTGCACGAGGTGGAAGATGAGCTTGCAATAAGCTTCTGTCAAAGAGCCTCTCACAGCCACGAATCAAGTGGACCTGCCAGGGAAGTTGCACAAGTGACAACAGTAAGATAGCATCTCTCTGCAGAGAACGGTGTTATAGGGAGTGGAAGAATAACAGACACATGTTCATCTGGTGACTGTTTCCTTGAAAAAAAAAATCAAGGGAAAAAAAGTACTCAGGCCTGATTTAATCTTGGAGGATATTATGCAGAGACTGTTCTCAAGGCTGCCGGTGTTGAGAGCATAGATCCATTACTTGACAAAATGAAAAGAGCTATAAAGAAAAGGAAGAAGTGCTTGCAGAAGAGCAGAAATGCAACAGTTGTGCCACTCTACTGGGGAATGCAGCACTGTCCGACTGCCCTCAGTGCTGTTGGAAATCTGCACTTAATGTCCCTTGAGGCAGATGGTTCTGCAAGTTTGTTTAAATGTATCCCACTTGGAACCAGAGAAAATACCCAAAACGTGAAAATGGCCAGATGAAACCATGCAATCTCTTCATCTAGTTGATTTTTTTTTATAGCACTTGAATTACTTGCAATGGCCAGTTGAGATCCTTCTTGTGCTAAGTGCTGCACAGAATCAGAGAGCAGGAAATCAAAATTAATCAGATCAGACATGAGTAAGAGAACATTTCTTCTCTTTTAGGATGAAGACCTAAAGCATTTCTCCAGCCTCCTTCCTAGTACCTACTCATGGTGGTCTGAGTGAACCTCCCAAGCCCTTTCTGCAGTTTTTCTGTGCAATCTATTTTGTTTCTCATGGATAGACAGGAGCAACACAAAGGCAAAAGGAAGAACTTACATTTCTAAAGCACAGGTGAGGCGCTGCCTCCGCTCCACACTGCTTCTGGTAGTCTGCCCAGTCAAAGTCCTGGCCAGAGTAACCTGCAGGGTGACAAAACAGAAAATGCCATCAGCCACCATTTCACACCAGAGAGAGAGCACAAAATGGGCCACAAGCAGATGAACATTTGTGTTTCAGCATCCCACCCCTTCTCAGTGAACTGTGCAGTATGAGCAGGCAACACCTCTGGATCACTGCTTATACACCAGGAGAGACAATGTCTACATTCTCCAGCCTCCACCCAACACAACTCCTGCATTTCACTTCGCCTACATTCTCCAGCCTGCACCCAACACAACTCCTGCATTTCACTTAGAAAACTCCAAGTCTTCATTAAAAGGTAGTAAACCATAATTATTTTCCTTATTTTTCCCTTTTCTGTGAGCATCTCCCAACTTCTAATAAACCCACAACTACTGAGAAGTGCTACTGTCCCCAACTTCCAGGTGGGGCTAATCATGGACTTCTTTCTCCCTTCTTTAGCTATCTAAAAGGCCCACAACTACTGAGAAGTGCTACTTTCTCCCTTCTTTAGCTATCTAAAAGCTGGGGTTATGGAGCTGGACAACTACCTGAAAGAAGGTTGTAGCCAGGTGGGGGTTGGCCTCTTCTCCCAGGCAACTAGGATGAAAGGAAATGGCCTCAAGTTGCACCAGGGGAGGTTCAGGTTGGACATCATGAAGCATTTTTTTGGTGACAGGGTTGTCAAGCTCTGGAACAGACAGCCCAGGGAACTGCTGAAGTCACCATCCCTGACAGTGTTCAAGAAAGGACTGGAAGTGGCACTCAGTGCTCTGGTCTAGTTGACACAATGGTGATCAGTCAGAGGTTGGACTCAATGATCTTAGAGGTCTTTTCCAACCTTACTGATCCTCTGCTTCTCTGCCCATGCTATAAGCTGCTTCCCTGAGCATATGAGGAGGTACCATGTACCCAGTACCTCCAGTAGTACATGGCACTCACACACTTATCCTGGGATGCTTAGCCCAAGTAACAACATTGAAATCTGTGTTTGCACAACTCAACTGCTGCCCCTCAAACACGCAAAACCTCCCTGTGTTTGCTATCTCAGCTCTCAGAATGGAAGAGCGCAGCAGCCTAATCAGAAGCAAATATAACAATACAAATGCACTGGTGGTTTTGGAAGTGGCATTTTCTTAGTAAGCCTTACAACTAGGAGCACTAGCAAAATGTTTTTTGCCCTCTTAATAGCTCATAAAACAATAGTTGTTGCTCTAAAGGGAAGTGGTCTATAAATCCAGCTCTAATAAATATAAACAGTGCTGGTTCAATGTTTATACAGCAGCAGTAAATGGGTATTCATTTTTGGCACTGTACAGGAAAATAACTGCTCTCTATTTCTAGTAGCAAATGTTTGCACCTCCTGTTCATGACTCATCTACTCTATGTTTGGCTTCAGTAAACCTCTGATAGGCAAAAAAGGCAAGAGAATGGGTATCAGACAAATAAAGGACTCTGAACTCAAACACCCCAACCTGGCACATTGTTCTGATGAAATAAAATCAGCCAATTTTAACATCAGAAAATCGCATGTCAACCATAAATTCACCAAAAAAAAACCCCAAGCCCAGAATAGAGCAAAGAAATTATTTTCACAAAAAGAAAAGGTGTTTCTTCTGTTTCCATCCTTTGCTTCATGGGAACTTCTTGCCTTTCCACAGGAAGAACTATTTGGGTAATACTAAATGGAATCACAGAATCATTCAGGTTGGAAAAGGCCTCCAAAATCATCAAGCCCATCCATTAGCCCAGCACTTCCAAGTCCACCACCAAGCTATGTCTGAGTGTCACATGTATATATTTTTTAAACACATCCCTGGGCAGATTGTCCCACTTCTTGACAATCCTTTTGCTGTACAAATATTGTCAACTTATTCTCTGTCAGGGGTGATGCTGGCTGGGAATGCCTGAGTGCTGGGGAAGCAGGAGGGGGGGCCAAATCTGGTGTGAGAAAGGGCAATTTTGTACAGTCCAGGGCAGATGGAGGTGTGATTTGGGTGGAAATAGTGGGATTTCCTCCCTCTTCTGCAGACCTGCTCATTAGCAGCCAGCTCACACCACAACCTTCCTCACTTCCCCAGCATTGCAGCCCTCTTGTATCAGTCCTCGCTATTTTTTTACTCAAAGCTGGTATTATTCTGCTCAGAGAAGACTGTCACCCTCAGTGGGGGTTTGGATGCTTTTTACTTTCCCTCTGCTTTCATTTTTTTGTGGTTTGTGGGGGTTTGCTGTCTTTATTTTGGTTTTTTTCCACTTTGAAATAGATCACTCTAATATCTGATTACATTTTACTAACTCATAGAGTGTGTCTGCCAACAGAAAAGGGTTTTGACACCAAAGGTGCTAAAATGCAGTTTGGGCATGCAGCCCTCATACACAGCCTAAGAAATACAGCAACACACAGCACATAGCTGTCTGCCACTGGGTTTATGCCTTTTTAATAGCTTCCCTGCAGGATTCCTGATCTCACAGCAGAGAGCCAATTCTATCTTCATCAGGGGAATGAGGGGAGATTTCCTGCAATTTCTCAGGAGCCCAGGTGGGTCCCAATCATAGAATCAACCAGGTTGGAAAAGACCTCCAAGATCATCAGGTCCAACCCTACCACGGTCACTAGATCATGGCACTAAGTGCCACATCCAGTCTCATCCTAAAAACCTCCAGGGATGGTGAATCCACCACCTCCCTGGGCAGCACATTCCAATGCCTGAGCACTCTCTCCCTAACAAATCTCTTCCTAATATCCAACCTAACCCTCCCCTGGCAGAGCTTGAGTCTGTGCCCTCTTGTCCTGCTGCTGGTTGCCTGGGAGAAGAGACCAACCCCCACCTGACTCCAACCTCCTGTCAGGGAGTTGTAGAGAGTCGTAAGGTCTCCCCTGAGCCTCCACAGGCATCACATTAGATCACAGAATGGCTTGGGTTGGAATGGTCCTTGAAGATCACCTAGTTTCACTCCCCTGCTATGGGCAGGGACTCCTTCCACTAGACCAAGCTGCTGGTCTGGTGCACTAGACCAGGTGAGTACTTGCCCCTTAGACTTTACTGGCCAAGTTAAACATTCATCATGTTCTGACATAGCTAAAAGTGTTGGCGTCCAACAGAGAGTCTGCACACACTTGACCCATAAAACACCATCTCAGACATGCTTTGTTTCAGCATGGCTTGGAAATTAATAGGCCATGACCCTGTAAAGAGCAATGTCTGGTCTGTGGTCTACTGCAGTTAATTAGCCAGCCTGGGGGAAGCTGCATGTGAATTTGGGTGGAAAAAACCCCAAAATATTCCATTTACTCTCATTTTTAGCAACTTTTGTGGACAGTATCAGTGACTGCTTTGTAGGCATTATCATTACACCTGGATGTGAGGAGGAGGGAGCTAAAGCCCCTGACATCACATTTCTTTCAGTACCAGCAGAAGGGTAATCATGGATGCAGTGTATGCAGCTGCACCCACAGGGCTCCAGGACTTTGGTGGGAATTTCAAATTACATGTGCTGAAGAGACACTCTGGATAAACATAAGAGGTGATGGAATCTGGTAGGGAATAACCCTTCATGCTTCTCTGGGTTTGGCAGCAGCAAAGTTTTTCCAAAATGGAGACAAATCTATATGTGCAAAACTTAGTTGGGATATTTTTATTTTTTTTTAGCCATTTCTTTTCCTCCCAAGTAACACCAATTTTTGGCTATGGATCAACACCCTAACCAGCTTCAAAAATCTCAAATTCCAGAGAAGCAATACATTTTGTGAGCAAAGAAGTATTGCTTGGGCACCACAGGTGGCTGTCTGAAATCACAAGTAATTAACTGCACTGCTACAAAGTTGGGGAATAGCTCTGTTGGAGGCTGTTTCTGCTGACTCTGACCTGAACACTGCTTGTAACATGCCCTTGCCTGGGATTTTTGGAGACAGCCAAGGAAATGCCTAGAACTCCTGGGCAAGCAGCTCTTCAGTTTAGTTTAGACATTCAGATTTAGGAGCTTTGTTTGGCCTTGGTGTTGTACCAAGGAGGATGCTGTAGGGAGATGCCTGGTTTGCCTCTAGAACAATATGACTTTTAATGCTCCTTTTGCTCTCAACACACACAAAGAATTGCTTTCACAGGAATTCAGGAGGATTTGGCACAGCCTGATTGAGACTCCAAAACACATGGACATCAATCCACCAGCAAGACACATTTGCAGAGATATTCACAGGCTGCTATGAGCCAGAACAGCACAAACCACTCCAGAGAACTACTCTGGCTTGAGATACTTCAGGTGATGCTCTGCAGCAACCACCATTACAGTTTTAAAGGCAATAATAACAAGCAAACTTCCTTCAGAGGAAACCTGAAAATGACAGAGAGGGAATACGAACCCTTGGGAGGTGTGAGATTGACTCCGTTTTTAAGGCACCACTGTATTGGTAAGATCCCTAAGGAATCTGCATGGCAAAGCATTGAGATTTTGCTGGGTTCAGGTCTCAAGTCATCAATGGTCACTTGTAGATAATGATTGTTAAAAACCTAAGGGAGAAAAAGAAGAGAACAAAATAAGAAGTTCAATTTGCTGTAACACAAGGTAATGTGGAAACATGAAACAGCCAAACCTTGAGATCAAACTACCACAAACAACTTGCTCTCACTTAATCCTTTTCATCCAAGTGTTTCTACCAAAGAGACCAAAGCCTGAGGTTTAGAAATATGTAAACTGAGGCAAGGGAAAGCACTAGGGTTCAGGGTCATTCAGTGTGCCCACAGCAGAGCAGGGACTGGAGGTGATCCTGGACACCCTCTCTCTTGCCTTTGAGAGTGTGGATTAAAAGTCCAAGTTCTGCCTCCATCTAGCAGTTTTATTTCAATAGGTTTCCCAGATGTGCAAGGAAAATACATCTGGTTGGAGAGGACAGAGTGACAAAAGAGGGATCCCTCATTTTGGCATGGAAGAGGCAGATGAACATGCTCATCCCCATTTGTTCTATGTGCATATAACCAGCTGATAATGCCTGTAGGAAAGACTCAGTTCATTAACTAGGAACATCCATAGATGTGGCTCCAGCCACTCTTGAGTCTTCCTAAATGTGGTAAAAGGTTCCTTATCAGGCCCTTTTCATGTCTGCTCAGCGCTCACCTTGGTCACTGATGCAGGACAGATATGAAATGGCTCTCTCATATTCACTGCCTCCAGCTTCATCCCCACAGTGAAGAAGTGGTTTCTCAAATCAGCATGGTCCTGTGGGAAGAGATGGGAAGGGGAACACATGGTGACATCCACCAAGAAGGAAACAATACATTTGAAAATCTATTTGAAAGGTGTCCACATGGATTTTGTCACTTAGCTGGTTGCTACTGGTCCTATGTTCTTTTCATGCCAACGAAACCACAGAAAGAAATGGGACAACCTCACTCCTAGAGGACACACATACAGGACAAAGCTCATGATATCTAAAGCACAATGTATGTCCATCTCATCAGCATCTAACCAGAACTTGGTAAACAAGGAGAGCACGCTCACCAAAATGAGGACCTGTCTGAGAAATGGCTGCTTGAAAATGTCCCCTGGGCAGAGCCTCTTCACCTCTGACAGCCACTACCATCTGAGAGCAACTAAGGGTCCAGAGGTGGGAAAACTCAAACTGAAATACCCCAGGGTAATGCACAACATGATCGCAAACAGTTCTGGATGGCCCTGATGTACCTTGATGAATGTCCAGCTCCTGCAGGGCACCAAAATAAGGAACTGCACTGGTTTCCATGTGCTGCAAGATGGAAAGGTCTTTTCTCCAGCTAGGAGATTAGAGCCTGGACAAGAAACTGGGACCCAAAACGTGGGCAATAAGAGAACAACATATTGATGGGAAAACAGGTAACTGTGTTCAAGCACATGCCCAACACAACACTTTCACCTGGGATCAAACCTGGCTGCACCCAAAGGCTACACCCAGAGGGTTCCCCACAAGTACCTTTGGAGATGCAGTCCTGAACTCAGAAGCAATCTGGATTCAGCTCCCCAGTTTGCCACCAGTTTAACATCTAATGACTCCATCCCTTGTGATGGCCATCTAATAGTCATACAAGTTGGCATCCTAATCCCAGAGTAAAAGTGGCATTTTCTGTTCATTCCATTACAGGATTTCTAACCCATCGGTGCATTAGCCAATACAAGCATAAAAAGAGATGATGTTCTATTTAACACACACTCACAGGCTGCTCCAAAATCCATGCAGAAAGCTTGCTATCTGCTCTAAGTGGTTAGCAACGACAATCCCATCTGCATTCATTGCTACATGTTGTATTCTTGTTCTAAAAATGATTTCCTATTGATCCAAAGTTGTATGTCATTGTGCTTTCTTCTCCCAAGAACTGTCTTCACTTGTAAGACTTAACAACTTCTATTTTGGGCTCTTACATTCCTGGTGCTGTTAGAGATAAGGATTTTTACAAGCTCCAAGCACAGTGAAATGAATTGTTGTTTTCATCTTACCAACCTGCAGTGTTACAGAGCCTTTGCTGTGAGAACCAAACAGCATTGAAAACAAAATCATAACGGATTTAGACTCACAGCAGAAGTATATACTGATGGGGAAACTGAGGAAGATTTAGCAATGATGGCCCAGAGCCCAAGGAGCTAATGGCTGAGGAAGAAACAGCATCCAGGAGCCTGAGCATTCTGCAGTGTAGCATGCACCTTGGGCAAGGGCATGCAGTGATAGCACAAGGGGAAATGGCTTTAAAATGAAGGAGAGCAGACTGAGATTAGATATTAGGATGAAATTCTTGACTCTGAGGGTGGTGAGGCACTGGAACAGGTTGCCCAGAGAAGTTGTGTCTGCCCCATCCCTCTAAGTGCTCAAGTTCAGGTTGGATGGGGCTGTGAGCAACCTGGAAGGTGTCCCTGCCCATGGCAGGGAGTTGGAATTAGGTGACCTTCAAAGGTACCTTCCAATTCAAACCATTCTGTGATTCTGTAACCATCAGCAACACTTGTGCTTACTGGCTGTCATTTTCTGTGATTCCCATCAGCAACACTTGTGCTTACTGGCTGTCATTTCCCTATCACTAAAGCCCCAGAGAAACATGAGACCAATTTCTAGCAGGTACACACAATATTTCATTGACTAGAAGTCTGAACCAGGAGAGAGAATTTGGCTCCTTGTACATGGAGGATGCAATAGTACCTGAGATGATCAGACAGACAAGTTTTCAAAAATTGCCACCATCAGCAACACTTGTGCTTACTGGCTGTCATTTCCCTATCACTAAAGCCCCAGAGAAACATGAGACCAATTTCTAGCAGGTACACACAATATTTCATTGACTAGAAGTCTGAACCAGGAGAGAGAATTTGGCTCCTTGTACATGGAGGATGCAATAGTACCTGAGATGATCAGACAGACAAGTTTTCAAAAATTGCCACCTTTATGACTTAAAATGCTTCAGGAGGAAAAAATGATGGATGCAAAAAAATCCAACCTGACCAGCACTGAATTTCAAATCTCTGAAGGCAAAAAGCACCTGGACTGGAGGGTTTGCCTCCTCCTGCATGAGCAGCCACACTGGACATATCTTAATCCTTGGGGTGAGGTTGCAGAGAAAAGGCAACTTTGCAAAATGTACATCTGGAAGCTCAGGCTGCAGCATCTTCCCAGAAACATTCCATGATTCAGCTCACGCTTGGATCCAGCTCCCATACATAATAAGCCAAGATCCACCAAAGTACTTAATCATGTTTATCTTTAAACACGCAAGGAGTTTCATCAACTTTTAAAGTGATTTGTTGATTGAGACCAAAATATATCAAGACCAAACCACACTGCTTCTCATTTTTCTTTGAATCATTTTCTTTGGTCCTTCTCCTCCTATTTGTTTTTGCCTTTTTCAAAGGGGAAAAATAATCAGATAAGGAAAAGAAAGGAAGCTAATAATATTTAAAGCTAATTTACTTCAAAAGCATATCCCGTTTTCTCCATGCGCTGTGTACCTTGGGATCAAATCTCCCTCCTCATTCAGCATGGCAAGTAAATATTTTCCCCATTAAATTAGCAGCAAGGATGAACTCGCAAAGGGAGTTCATGGGATCTCAACTACATCTCCCTTTTGAGGGTCAAAATCCTCTTTGAAGCAGGAACATGCATTTATTTGGAGAAATGCTGTGGAAGTCAAAAGCTTGTCTGTGTTAAATGTCATTTCTGAGATGGGAAAGCTTTCATGGAGAAAAAGCCTTTGTATTGTACCTCTCTGGAACATGGTCAGGGTCTGGATATTTGATCTCTCTCACATATTTGCTAAAGAGAAGCATCAAAATTTACCACAGCAGCCTTAGATTTTTGCAGCCACAAAAGAAAAAAAAAAAAAAAAAGATCCTGATGCTGTTCTCCAATTCCAGCGCTGGAGCTGCCTCAGCCAGCAGGGAATTACTTAGGATTTGGCATATGCTCCTCTTCAAAACTCCAATTAATTTACATAATTTCTAAGAATAGGTTCCACAGAAGTGATGGCAAAGCTTTTAATTAGTATTAGACTCAAAGTGATACACTGGATAATGAACTGCTCTCTCTTCCCTTTATTCACATTGACAGGGACGACGCCTGTTTAATAAAAGCAGCTACAAGAAGAGGACTGGAGGGGTGAGACGTTCCCCTGGTCCCTGCCAGGCTCTGCAGCTGAACAAAAGAAATGCCTGAAATAATTATGGGTGGCAGAACTCGACCCTTTGCTGCTATTTCACGGCATTCAATGCCACCAACAAGGATGTCACCAGCCATTATTTTCTAGCAACTTCTCCAAGTGACTTTGAATTTTCTTTGTAATGGAGTTGAATAGGCAGAATATTTTTGACCAGTTGGAGCATTTTATATCCATGTGCATGGTGAACCTCTACTCCTATACTGGCAGTCAATGCTTCCCAGGAGCAGCCCCACTGAACACACAGATGTTTAGGTTGGATATTAGGAAAAATTTCTTCACTGGATGGGATGTCAAGCAGCAGAAAAGGCTGCCCAGGGAAGTGGTGGAGTCACCAATCCTGGAGGCACCTAAAAGATGTGTAGATGTGGCACTTGGGCACATGGGTTAGTGGTGGATTTGGCAGTGCTGGGTTAACAGCTGGACTCAATGATCTTGGAGATCTTTTTCAGCCAAAATGATTCCATGATTTCCACCAGTGGATTGCCTGTCCCAGGGCTCACAAGCTCTGAGTGGGTGATGGATATCTCCCCTGACTGCTGGACAGCAGTCAAGTAAACTGGATTGACAATCAACAGGGAGGTAGGAGAGCCCCTTACAGCAAAGAAAAATACAAAATGTACAGCAAGTGAATGTGGTATGAGCAGCACAGTTTCTCACTCAGAGGGACACAATCTCTAACATGATGGATCACAGCCTGCAACGATGCTCACGGGGAATGAATGGAAAATTGCTAACCCTCCACTGAATGTCTGTCACTTCCAGCCCAAACCCACTGGCAAAATCCAGGGCTGCCACAGCTCTCACTACAAACCTCAAGAAACAATTAAGCTCAGCCCCACACTCATAGTTTCAGAGCATTATGCATTTGCAAATTTGCCAGTATGCCCAGGCTGTGACCCTCCAGGTCACCTGAAAGACAACTCCACTTTGATACAAACCATCTTCACATGGCATGTGATGCTGCAAAAATACTGATGGGCTTTGCAACAGCTCACTGCAACCAGCATCACACACAGGGCTGACAACTGCAGCATCTGGAGGTCAAATAACACATCAGCAACAGTGCTGGGAGGAGAACCAGGCTCCTAATTCCCAACCCTCTTCTCTAGGTTCTGAGATAGCCACATAATTTTCTCCTTCATAGCTGGAAAGTCACTAGCAGTGCAGGTTTCAGAAATATCAGGTGACTTGGGAGCCTAAATGCCATTCCAAAAGAGATCCACAAAGAGATTTAGAAAGTATTCCAACTCTTCAGGATGCAGAGAGGTTTTAGGGACTTAGCTGTGTGGGTGACGTGTTTAAGTCCTAATAATAGTCACTAAGCATTGGCTTTAGGTCTTGAACTCAAAACAAGATACACTTCACAATCATCAGAGTCATCTGACCATCCTGGTACCTAAATATCTTGCTAGATATGGTTCCGAGTCTTTCTGCTCAACAAAGGTCGTTTAGGTGTAAATAAACTCAATTTTGTCCATGTCACAAGAGAGGAGCTCAGGTAATTTTACAGTGCACTGAGTAAAGCTGATAGAGCAGGGGGGACCT